CAGAGCTTGAGGGCGTTGACAGTGGCCTCTATCTGCCAATCTCCCTGTGGATATTGTTGCAGTATTGGCAGACAGACAGGTTTTGTGAGCTGACAGATCCCTTCTATCAGCAAGTTATCATTTCCAATTAAACCCTTTCATCTAAACGTACAGTACAGTCAACTCCTTGGCAAGCCAAAAAAATTACCCAAATATTTCAACAGGTCTCCATTTTTTTTTTTTTTTGTCAACCTCCACTCTATAAATGCATGGGCGATTTTTTTTTAAAGCATTACGGTTCTAGATTCTTCAGGTATCTTGATCCAAATAGCTCAGAACTTCAGATGTCTATAGTGGTCATGTTCTATTTAGAGATACATTTTCAAAATTGCATCAGATTGACACACTGGCATGTCCTCAATATGTATACCAAGACAAGGGCCTTTTTGTCTAACTTAGTTCTGTCAAGACCCACTATGGACAGCACTGTTCCTATCCACTATGCAGGAGACGGAAGAGAAGGAATGCATGCAGAGCTCAGTAACTGTCTGTTGAAAAAGGCCTCACAACGTTTCATTTCCTTTAATAAGATGGCCTCTAAGGCATCCGGATGGACCAGCTAAATACAGATTAACCCTCAGCATCATCAGTAGCCACTCAATCAACATGACTGACTCACTCCTACATGCGTGTGTGCAAGCACGCTTAGGCACACAAGGTGCAGTACAAAAGACTATACAGTCTTCAGCAGTGATAAAAACAGATTTTTTTTAAAAGGAATTTTATATTTGGTGCAGTAAAATTTAAAAGTGGTCAAGTTTACATTCCTACTTACTAACCTGAGCTCCTCCATGGCCACACTTATGTTTTAGTGATCCAGGGTGCCAACTTCAGATGAACGATGGCTGCACAGGTCTTTGTAGTATTCGGTAGAACAGTGACTAATTTAGTGTTATTAGAAACCCAACCTAAGCAATTCATGGTATTATGACAGTGTACAAAATAGAGTGCACAGACGTGTTAACGTGTACCTTAACAGGATTAACTAGCAATTGTTTAGCTTGGCTTATAACAAGTAAACATTCAGAACTCTTCACTTTGGTGAACTAAGGTCTGGTATTCTATATGTTATGGTATGTTGCACCCAGGTTTCCCGTGCCTATGTTGCACAGCTAAATTGGGACACCACTGCACATGTGTGCATGTACTTGATTGTGGGTGTGTTGTAGGGTCCACTTCATTTCATTCTAGCCCCAGTCAGGTGCACACAGTGTAAAAAGTACATGTTGCAGTGGTTGTTGTACATTTCATTGTGAATATTAATGAACTGTGAAATTTCAGCAGCTGTGCTCATGACTGAATGCATATAAAGGAAAAAGTCATTTGTGCTAACACCTAGGTTTTCATATTTTAATCAAATCTCATAAGCCAGATTTATTGTTTTTGACCTCAAGAGGTCTCACTCCAGTTGGAAATCTGCTTGATGAAGTGAGTAAAAGCGTGCTCCCACAGCTTCAGGGCTTAACAAGCTGCAGTACAGATGGGCTATAACCAATACTCCTACCTGTAGATCCTGGCCAGCTGCTCTGGCATGCGAGTTTGCTTTGCACTTCGTCTAGTTTTACAAAGAGGGGTTTTAAGTGCAATTCAATTCACAATTTCCTCTTTTAGCTCTACAGTAAGATACACTCTCTGAAATGTAGCCCCCCCACAACCCGCAGCAACTTCCTGAAGTTAAAAAGTGTACACTATGAAAGCAGTCAAGAATTCAGATAAGTGCAGCATTAAACCCAACTCGGATCGAGTCCCCTTCCACCGATTTAATCGGATAATACTTAATTTTTTTCAGACAAACTGCACTATAAGAATTTTAATAATACAGAAAGTAATCATTCCAAGGGAAAGAAAAGCCAATAAGAAGAAAGAAAGTGAAAATAGGAAAAAGAAAGTGATAAAGGGGTAAAACTGAAGAGAGGAAGGGAAGAAGGACAGAGAAAGACGGTGGAAAATAGGGAAAATATTATCAGGGCACCTGAACCTGAGGTAAAGGAATACTGTCAGAAATACTAGGATAATCCTCTTGGTTTTAATGGTTTTGAAATGCTATGAAAGATTAGGTAAACAGTGCATTTGATTAATGGGAAAAGAAGTCAATTGGCCATGGAGCGTGAAGCACCACACAAAGCTCCTTTCATATCCCCACTGCTGCTGAGAGCAGAGATGGTCACAGGGTTGTCTTGGCACAGACAAGGTTTTGTAAACCTCTCCTGGAGAGAGTGAAATCTCTCACGGCTTTTAAAACTTGAGTGAGCATGAGGAAATACTGATGCACATGCACACACAGAGAAGTTCAAGTGGATAAGGAAATGAATGAAACATGCTTTGGGATGATACCAGTCTGATTTTGATGACTGATTTCCTACTAAGTTAAATGTTTAACTTAGTCATCCCTGAAATTTTGAATCCAACACTTGACTAACTGGATTCCTGCAGCCTCTCTTCCTGATCCCTCTCCATTTCCTCTCTCCAGGTAAAGGTCAGCTAGCCCAGGTGCTTGCTCTCCACTTGACTCCTTTCCGGCAGACAGTGGCTAAAGCAGATTCTGCAGTGACCCATTTAGTGTCATCTATGCATGATCAAATCACCCCAAAACAACTTATCTGTTCTGGGCCAAGGCCTGGAGACTATGAATTAATCATATGGTGGTTCGAACAGTGAGGAACAGGTGAGACTGAAAAGATCATTCAAAAGTGTTTTTCCATCTGTAAGGTCTTAAGAACCAGAAAGGGTCACTTGAACTCACTTTCTACTGTATCTGTGCAAGCAAACTATGGCCTGGATGAGGTTAGTGTCAGAATGTGGTTATGAAAAATAAAACGCTGTTCGTTAAGCAAGCAAAAGCACTTGGTTAACTTCAGGGACAGATCACAGTTACATTTGACCTTTAATTAAAGTTTGTAATGAGACAGAAATGGTCTTGTGAAAATCAAATATGCTAAACACCTATCCACCACTACAACCTCTACATCTTTATTTTCCATGCTACAGCTTTCACTGGCACTGGATGTAGCAAGGTCCAATATGGACATCATTCCTAATGATGCTGGGCTGAAAATGTCTGCAATCCAGACACTACAGAAACAGTACAGTATTTCTAAACATGTCAGGGAGCGTTTCCCTTTTTTAAGCCTGAACAAATAACATGACAGATAGAAATTAGTACATAAACCAACAGTTCAGTACCCTACTGGCTCTGTATAATGTGTTGTGCTGGGCTCAAGCTACTGAGTGGCTTGATCTTTATTGCTCACGCACACACTTGCCTTATTTTTTACTTTTCAATCTTTAGTTTAGTCATTCACACGTGCTCACTTGAAAGGTTGTTATGCCTGTTTAAGAATGTGTCTGAACAGAAAGAATGCTAACTCCTGAACACAGTAAACAGAACTACTTATTTGGTTTGCTGCTACTCTTGACCTCAACCCATAGCACATTCCTGACAGACTGACTACATGGGATCAGAAGGAATAGTCAACCACCAGTGTAACATAAACCACTTACTGACCTTGACAACTGATACATTTTTTCTACAACCATATCAGTTGCAGCCAGCTCAATATTATGGAACAAACACCTTCATTGCAGAAAATGGAGGTTTATTTTCCCACATATATTTTGATATACAAACAATTAACAGCTATGACTCCACATGCTTCAGGGTACCAGGTAATACACAATGGCTGCTAATCCCCTGTCCATAGCCAGAGGCAGCATAAGCTCTCTTCTGCCCCTTGCTATCACCTGCCTATTTACTCCCATGCCATCCCTGCAGCGCTTTCAACCACTCTCCCTCTTTCTTCTATCCTTTTTTTCCATCCGCTAATCCTCTTTAAGGACATTACCTGCTAATATATCCAGCCAGAAAGTATAAAAGCCCAGCTATCTCTTTACTGCCGTTGGCAGTACGCTAAATAGGTCATTAATGGAGCAAGGTAAATGGGGGATATCATGGTATTGACCCAGGATACCATTCAGAATCTGGTCTGTGTGGCTGTCTGAAGCGTTAGGTGTTGGGTCCCCAGGGAGAGAAAGGGAATTCTGGTAAAAGAAAGTGTGGCAGCCTTAAGTACTTCAAATGTTTCAAAATCAGGAACCAGAAACTAGTACAAGACTAACTTCGCAAAGCCATTTTACTTTAGTTTTTTTTTTTTTTTTTGTACTTACTTATCCCAGATTTCAAAGCCACATAGGGCAACACTGGTGCCCCCTCATGGCAAAAAGGGGCAACTAAATCTGACTTCATGTAAACCAATGTGATTAAGCTGCATTTGACAACAGATTTCTATATACAAAAAAAAATAAATAAATAAAACAGGTAAAATACTGATATCACCTTTCTTTGAACAGATGTTTCCATGCTGGTGTTTAGAAAGAAACTTGCTTAATATAAACATAGCTCATTTCCTTACACAATGTCCACACCCTATATTTTAAATATAATATAGACACTTATATCAAACCTACACCATCATTAGAGGGATGGGATGATCTTTCCTGTTGCAGCAGTCACTTGACTTTACAGGTCAATTTTACCTGTATTGTGCTCTGAGCTTTAAATGCTGTGCCATGTATAATTCTGTGTAATGTCCTGCCTGAAAGACTGACACAAAGAGGTGCTTTACATTCTCTATACAAACTACACATAAACTTTAAGACAGATGGTTGTTACAAAGTTATTAGGTGTAGTCTAGCATGAAGAGTATATGCAAGTTCAGCTTCAAAAGACCATGCTGTAGATTTTAACCTGAAACAGCTTTGCATTTGAGAAATCAAAACTGCTAACAGTTTGTTCCCTGTTCCTAAACTGCAGGCTGCCCTGACCAACAAAGTTCACTTGTTGACTAGGCCTCATGGCAGGGCAGGTGTTCATTTTACTGCTAAGGGAGCACCACTGACATCACATCAATGAGACAACACGAAAAAGTGCTGACAGTTGAGACAGCAGAACCCCATCAAATCACCTCCGCCATCTTCAGCAGCTAGGACATTGGGAGAGGAGAGAGTGCCCTCCTCTGGTCCAAACAGGAAATTACCACGAGGTATGAAGGTGCTCCAACAGATTCCCCTTCATGTTTCCTGTGTCACCTGTTAATGAAGCAAGGCAATTTCATTTATGTAGCACTTAATAAAAACAAAAAAACCCCAAACATTACAAAGTGATTTACAGTTAAAAAAAAAAAAATTTGCAACACTAAGCTTGCAATCCAAAAGCTGCACACATGATCTAACCTAGCATATACAATAAAACACAAAACTGTCATAAAATCAAAACAGAATATTTATCTCAATAATTTAAAAATGAGTATGTAATTACATTTTTTATGTTATTTCTAAAACTCATGTTTTATTAAAACCAGTCATGTCCTTTCATATAATTTTCTTTCCACTAGAGGGAAGCACTGTATCAGGAGTTATACAATACGTGATAAAGGTTAAAAAGACATGACATTTGTTTGCAGTAAATGTCTACAAAATGTTGGAATAGCATAAATGACTTATGTTGGTGTTTTTCTTTCAACTGTTGCTTAAATTGATTTTGGAAAAATGTCAAAATTATTTATTTCCCCTACATTCAATGTGTGCTCTAACAGCTGCATGTGAGTATAATGAATTATAGCAGCAGAAATCTCGACTGTCAGGGAGGACCAGGGCACTGGCAGATCAGCACATCCATCCACCCACTCCCCAGACAAGATGGGTGTGATGATTGGTGCCACTGCTGCGTGACAAAAGTGGCTTCTCATCACAGCAAATAGACAAAGGTGTCACCCCATCCTCCTCCTTTTTTCCACCCAAGTACCAGAGGTACCTGTCTGAATGGTCATGTTGGATTAGATTTCTGGAAAAAATTACTCCTCTTTCCCAACTAAACCCATTACTTAAGGTGGTGTGTACACTTAAAACCATCGGCCCATGTTCTAGTTGGAGAGTGGAAATTGTTCTTTCTCTAAAATTATACGACCAAGCAATCAGATCTGTACAACACAAATTTCCCCTCTCATAAGACTCTTTGCCTGATCTGAGATGAAAATACTTAAAATCATTTAATTTCAGGGCTGGAAGAGTATGATGCTGTTGAGGGATGAAAACAGTGTTGACAGATAATTGCTAGGAGACTTCACTTTATAGCGCAACAGTTTTTCCTGATAACTTAAAGTGAGTGGAGCATGACCACCACAACACCTTGTAATCTAGCTCTCACCTCCTGTGAGGAAGGCAGCCAGCTCTGCCAGGCGTCTGCCAGCCCTGCACATCAGAGATGTTTTATTTGATGTAGCTGATGTGAAATGAACAACTGTACCATTATCCCAGCTAAAGAGCATACATGCTCAAATTAGGCTCAAATTAGACAAGCTAAAATATATATTAGAATAAAACAATAGAATACTTTTTTCTGCAAATCGGGGGCAGCGTGTCTCACATTTTGCTCAAGCAGCCCTTATATGATATGGTTATTTTTAGTCACACAAAATGAAATTAAGCAGCTATATAGTTCGTGTGTTCCTACTAATGTTTGACTTTCATAAACTGTGCATTTACAACAAAATATCCCCAAAAGAAATGAAAACACACATGCATTGTTATAATTTGGCTGTTGCTCCTCTGAGTCCAACATATAAAAGTATGACGTTCATACTTTCATATGTTTCGTTGAATGACTCAGGTCATACTATGAACCATGAAAGACAAGAAGGTTGGCCACGTATGTGCATGTGAATCTTACTCGACAGAAATAAGACAAGTGTCCACGCAACAGACAATGAATAATACAGAAAGACAACCTCTGAATTTGTGCATGAGCCAGTGCACTCTGTATACTATCTGCTTTACTCTTGTTTGTCTGTTCTGTAGAAACCTCTAATACCCTGAAAAAAGAAAGGGCTACAGATACACACTACACAGATTTGTTGCTACTAACACAAACCAGATGAAACTGAATAAAGCCAGACAGCTTTAAAAACATGCATCTCACACACAGACATTTAAAAATAAACCACACATGCCTAGTGTGTGTGAAGGTCCTGATATGTACCACTGTAATCTCTCATTAAGATCCATAATCAGCACACCATTAAAAAAAAACTACTGGGAGCTGCTTACTGTCATGATTGTGTTCAGTGATGTCACATTCATTACCAGACAAGGGACATCAAAGCAAATGGACAAGCATGATTAACTAAGCCTGGAAAATGTATGTACAGAAAAAAGGCTACAACCAGCCATTTGATGTTCAGCTAACAGCAAAAAACAAAGCTTTGGCTATATAATTCTCAATAAACAAGGTTCTACTTATGATGAGAGGTGTACACTGAGTGTAACAGTAAGCTTTGTTTTATAGGCATAGAAGAGTGATACAGTCAGATAGTAAAGTTTCACATGGTTGGACTTTGAAATGCAGGTGCCATGGCCAATTTGGAGTCACCCTATAACTGAATAGCCAGACATAAAGCCATGTTGATATTCCTAGCAGGGAAAATCATGGCCTTTGTTTCAGTGCTAAAATGCATGCTATCAACTTCTTCTCTAACCACAGAGAGGAAAAAAAGAAACAATCTGTTTGATGAAGCAGTAACTGCACAAAGAAACAGGAGCTGTTCAACTAAGCGGATTAATCAGCGTTACAGTCAGTTTTAATTAATTGACTCACAGACAAAACTGCTTTGTTTGCAGAACATGCAGTTGAGTACAACTTGATCATGAGAATAGGCTCAGATCATGACAAAAGCTTCAAAAACCTTCAAATGCAGTATTATGCTTGTCACTGGCCCATAGAAACCCAAAATGTCACCTGCTCAGGAGCTAGAAAAAACAGCCTTGCTCACCCAGTAATGGATTCATCAGGTCAGAGAAGCCTTTGCAAGACACAGCAGGCAGAATCTTCTCAACCCACAAATGAGAGCAAAGTAAAAACAAATCATCAAATTTTGTTAAGTTTAAGATGCAAAAATGAATATTTTGGACAAATGAAGCATATAATAATGTGTTACCAACCCACAGAGAATTATGTAGTTCGTACATATTCAACAACAAACATACTGTCAAACAGTACGAGTGCAAGTGGATAGCCTTGCATTGCCCCTAGGCATAGTTAGTCTAATTAGCCTTGTTATTTGTGCAAACTGGTTAATACGATAAGCCTATAAACTATAAAATAACACCACATGAACTGCTAAGGGTGGTCTACATTACTGTGAAGGCCTCAGCCCTAGCCTTCACCCTGTGAGTGCCTAAACCACCACCAGTGGTAGAATTGCTTGGGTAATATTTAGTTTTCTTTATTTGGGTGTGTAGTTTTAAGTTGTAGGTAAAGGTTAGGTATTGTTTGATAGTGGACATACATAGCTGATCAATGAACATGCACATTTGATTAACTTTGCATTTTTAACATGTGTAAAATTTCTCTTGAGTTTCCTGTTTCCTGGTCCATGGATGGGGGGTGGTTCTGACAAAAAATTGGATGGAGGAAGTGACAGGGTTAAATACCTCCCTCTAGATCTGGACTATACCATGTGCTGAAAGAAAGAGGGGGAGTTTAGGGGGAAGGTGTTATTTATTTGTTTGTACTTTATGTTAAGACATTATTTGTTGTTATGTTTTATTTTTTTATCTAAAGGAAAACATTTAGCTGTCAGCAGACTGTCTGTTTAGTGTTTATTAGTTGATTATTTTGATAGTGTCTTTGGTCTATCCCTTGTGTGTGTTATTGGTTTGGCCAGCCAGGTGGCTGCCTCCATTCTATACCAGAAAAAAAATTCCTTGTGTTTGTAACATACTTGGCCAAATAAAGGTGATTATTATCCTCATATATATGTTCCCATGTGTGTGTGTCACTTGTTAGATCAGTTGGCTTTTGTTGTGGTATCAGACAGTTCAGTTTGCAGTATTATGAGTTTTTTTTATCTTTTGTTGACCTCTTTTAAGGCCCAATATATCTAGTAGTAATGTTGTTTGTATTTGTCTCTTATTTTTTGGGTTAATAAAAAGCCCATTTTTTTTAACTTTAAGCTGTGTCCCCCGCCCTACTGCCTGGTCCCTGACAATTACCTAAACATTTTTGTTGGACTTTAGTGACTTTACCTGACCATAAATGAAAACCTTAGCATTAACACTTTAATTAGCTTCCAGCACATACACACATCCCAGTGACCCAATTTAGCACATAAACTCAAATTTACAGTATTATTTACCACCAAGCTTGATATTCAATATTCTTGTGATTTCTGTGGCTTAGAAGCTGAAACAATCTGTATTAACACTATACTACAATCACTTAAGCTCATTTTATACAATATGAACTGTTTGTATCTAATTTCACACTGGTAATCAACTAACAAATGTCTAACACAACAAATTGTGTGAATGTATAACCGCAGTTTTCTGACATTCTTAACCCAGCCCTAGCCAAATCCCAACCACTTACCTATGTGTGCTATACCTTTGTTCAGTTTTGTCAAATGGGTTTGCTCATTCAGCCAGTAAAGATACTGATGCACTGGATGTGGAATTAGAGAAGTTATTATTCCAAGGTGTATCACTATTTTTAGTACACTATCACATTGCAAAAGTACAAATTATAGTATTGCTCGCCTGAACTGTTTACAGTCTGTGCTTGTTCTGATTAGCCTATTTATTATCTGCATCAGAAATCTGACATCATGTCCTTTTTCAGGCTGAGTGTAAATTTTGTTGAACAGACACATAATGTGATTATTCCTAAATAATGTTTGTGCTATAGATCTGCATGTTTACGACTGGTCCTTAGTAGCCACACGGCTGCGAATGAGGCGTTCGCTGTAAAGCATATTGCAAACAGCTATGGACAATCAGCCAGTGCAAACACAACTTCAGTGCTCTGCCTGCAATAATGCTTCACCTCATTAATGCTACCAAGTTTCTATGTGTAGCCTGTAATTCTTCTCAAAATTGGTACAATCTTTATGTTGCTTTAAGCCACTGGATGCTGTCCACTAAGACATTTTCAAATCATTAGCTTTGAAAGAACATTCATTTAACTCAACTTTCTCTTGCTTTAAAGCTGCAAACTGTTATCTATCATGTGGAACAGTATTGAAAATTAATTCACTAATTACTGTATATAAAACAAGACTGGGATGCATTTATTGTACAGTCACTTCTGGGTTGACTGAGCTAAAATCATCTGGTGTAAATGTGAATTGCGGGAAAAACATTCAGGTGCAAATGCCTTCTGAGGATTGCATGAATGGCTGTGTGTAGCTGTAACTTTGTACCTTATTAACTCAAAGTCTTTAAGCAAATGGATTTGAACTTTATCCTAGTTAGGGGAGCAATACAGAGACTGGTATCCAGTGCAGTTTCACCATTTGTTACCTCATTATGTGGAAGGGGGCAGAAGTGAAAAACTTCTCTTTCTGAGGAATTAATTAGAAATCTGTGCAACCACATTTGGCCATTTGTCATTACTGACAATTTATAGGATGGCTGGACAGCTGCACATGTGACCACTGTTATAACAAATAGACTTGTGTCTTTTATCCTCGTAGCAAGACAGTGGAGAAGACTTTCTCAATTAAACACTGTAGATCATATCCATGCTTTTAATTTTGGTTCTGAAACTAATTTGAGGAAAAAGATTTTTTGTAAATGAGTCATTTTAATTTTCATCCTTACTGGGGGGGTTGGGGTCTCAGTGAGCATGTTAATTGAAATTTTCAAAGAACTCAGATGTATGGTAGCCTGTGACAGTGGTAAATGAGTCTTTTCTGTATTTAAAGAATAGGTGAAAGTAGAAACTGCTATATGACTGATATATTATGGCCATTTGGCTCTGTTTTCACATGAAGAGGGTCATTCTGTAAGTTCATTATATAAATTCTGTTTTATTTACACTGTAGATCCCACCACCCACGACCACAACACATTACAATGACTACAGGATGACAGAGAATAATTTACGTCCACTCTCATTGGCTGAACAATGAGCAGACTTGTCATCTTGTCTCCCTGCTTATGCCAGACCTGTATCAAATAATAGTTTGATCTAATCTACTGGAGCACTAGATCAGTGGAGTTTATTACTTTGAGATTATTTAGATTATTGCAAATCACAAGAACGAAACATAATATAACACAGCTGTCTCACTTGTTGGTGAAAAGTAAGTAAAAAAAAAAAAAAACAGAAACAAAAAACATATTTTCTCAAGGACTTCCCTAAAATATACTCAGTACTGTCATCAGTGCTAGCCTGCCATCATAGCCTACTGTCTTTCATCTGACATTTGTTTTCTCACTTGGTTACTGAACTGAACATAGGACACAATTTGAACTTTTCAAGTTTTCTGAAGCTCTACTTGTTATTGCACATAGTGCATGTAATACAAAAGTAATCTTTATAAAAAGGAGTTGCTGTATATAAACATTTGCAGCATTGTGCTTTATAAACAGCATAAGATATTTGGTTTTCAGTGAGGTCATATAGCCTCGATTGGTTGTGCAGTAACAATCACAGAGCCCTATGATTTATTATTGTTAGTGCTGAAATGTAACTAAGTACATTTATTTGAAGTAATTTCATTTTATGATATCTTACTGAGGGAAATATTGTACTTTTTATTCCAATGTGTTTATTTGACAGCTGTAGTTACAGTACATGCTATTTTGCAGAGTTGACATAAAATATATATGATTACTTTATGATAGCATGGATTTATCTGCCCACCAGTAGGCTATACTGTAAATTAGCTCTCCCTCCAGCAGTTAAAATGCTGCTCAAGCATAAATACAAAATATAACTTTATAACACTCAAGGAAAGTGATTTTCTCTAAAAGAACTATTTTTAAATTTGATTTTGTTCAAAGTACTTACATACTCAACTAAAATTTAAAAGCAAGCCGCAGGACTTTTATAGAATGCCTTTTCTGCCACTGGTTATTATTTACAAACTTAGGAATCACCTCCTCCGACCTTTCCCCTTGTGTACAGTGCACTCCTGTCGAAATGACAGATGAGTTGGTCGTTATAGCCATGCAGCCCTACTTTCTCATATTGCCAGCAGAACATGTTTTTAGGTCATGGGACTACAGCATGCCCTCCTTAGCAAGGCTACAGGCCGTACACACAGTACTGCTGGTGGTATACTGTAAGCTTTCTCTGAACTACTAATTTGGATGGAGCAGTCCTCTACAGTGCCCATTTAGAGCTCCTTATAAGGCTTTGAACACTACACTGATAAGACTCCATCCCTCTATTCGATGGCAATGTCATCTGAGCTGCAGGTTGTGTTAACGTTGAGAAATGTTCATAAATTAATTGACCATAATGTCTCATATCGACTTGAAAAGAAAAACTGGAGAATTACTCTGTGTAATTTTTATATCCACGAACTTGATCTAGGCTGTGTATTTTTTTTTCGCAAAACATCTCATTATCAGAAAGAACTGCTGTTCAACGTGACGCTGATGTCATCAGCCTTACCACCAACCACGCAATCGTGCGTCGTGCTTTTATTTTTACTCTAAAAAGCTGTTTCTGAAAAAGGATGCACCAGCGTGTTTAGACCCTGGCACAGAAGGCAATATAAAGACAACTTGAAGTACTTCTATGTCTTTTTCCCAAGCTGTTCATCATGTCAATGCGCAATTGCGCAGCTAGGAAACCCTCAGCTGTAATACCAATGACATGACAAGCGTGTCTCACCAGAGCAAGCTTCCTGCTGTGACCCCATTCCCGTGAAAGGGGTTGTCAGATTTCCTCATAATAATCAGGTGAGCTTTCTCTCTATGAATTCCCTGCGACCTAATCGTGGACGCTGTTGGGGGCACCGCTCTGTTTATTGAAGACATTTGGAGCCTGGGGAGCTAGGTGCGCATGACAATGTATTGGACTCATATATGTTGTCACTGCACCTCACGATGACAGTTCGCATCAGGACTGTGGATGCACTCATCAAAAGCCTGGATATTTGAGAGGAAGCACCATGGACGCAGCGGATATAGTTGCTTCCCTGTTGGTTTCGGGGATTATTGCCGTGTCGCTGCTGTCCAACGTTGTGGTGCTGATCTGCTTTCTGTACAACCCGGAGATCCGCAAACAGGTACCCGGTCTGTTTATTCTCAACTTGACGTTTTGCAACCTGTTGCTAAGCGTGTCCAACATGCCACTAACTCTTGCTGGGCTCATCACCACGGGATACCCCGGAGGCAGCAGCTTCTGTCAAATTGTGGGTTTCCTCGATACTTTTCTCACCACAAACTCCATGCTCAGCATGGCAGCGCTAAGCATCGATAGATGGGTGGCAGTGGTGTTCCCACTGAGCTATCACTCAAGAATAAGGCACCGGGATGCACTGATAGCGCTGGGATACACGTGGACACACTCACTTTGCTTCTCCACAGTGGCGACTTTCCGCTCATGGGTCGGGTACCACCACCTTTACGCATCGTGCACTCTCTGCAATGTCAAGGCTAAGGGAACCGGGACGCAGTTCATCATTTTCACCGTGGCTTTGCACTCTCTAACTTTCCTCATTACGCTGATTGTGTTGTGTGTAACATATCTGAAAGTGCTGAAAGTTGCAAGGTTTCACTGTAAACGCATCGACGTGATCACAATGCAGACGTTGGTGCTCCTCGTGGATATTCACCCCAGGTAAACAATCATTACAGATACATTCAGTCTAATATGTGTCTTTTGAATGCAGTTGTCATTCACTGAAAAGTTTGATATGTTCCTTTTCATTTTGTCTAGTATGTGAACCATTTCAGAAGGAGCATTTTGATACTGTGGTAAAATCAATACCGAATTAGTTCTCAACTGAAAATTAAGACATTCCGTGGGACATAATAAAGATTTCTTTCCAAGGAAACAAGCACTTAATGCGCTAATATAAAAACATCATCAGAAAATTACTATGGTTTATTTATTTTTATTATGGCCATGCAAACAGTCTTGAATCACTGAGCTGATGGGCAGAAAAATAATCCATGTTGATAGTCAATTTGTCTATCACAATTGTCTGGCTCCAGTGTTGGCTGTGCATCATTGGGGGCACCGCTGAGATATACATGTTAGCTTGGATTTTTGCACTCATGGTGCACATTTTGTAGTATTTTCTGACATTTATCTAATTTATTAATTTGCTATTCGCATAAATAATTGTCATATTAATTAATAATGAAAGTTTAAAGTAGTTAGTAACAACCCCATTCTGTCATAAGCAGATTTACCTAATTTGGATTTTTTTTTTTTCTTTTTGTGTGGGGTGGGGGGTGGAGAGTGAGGTGGGGCATCTGTCTGCATGATACTCATGGAACTAAAGTGCTCTACTGATGATGACTGGAGTCTGCTAGGTGCTATCAGTGTCAGCCAGTGTTTATAGTATCATGGCTCACTGAGGTCAGCAAAGCCTGCCTCATTTTTTGCCTTTCTATCATTTACTGTCCACTCTGACTTCTAGTCAAACAATTAAACATCGAATTGCTCCCCACCTACGTAATTGATATTTGTGCAATATAATCAGCATGAGGTTCCTTGCTTTCTTTGTGTCTATCCCATCTATCCTCTGTGGACTGCCACATTATGTCTGCATGACTCTGATCATGCCTCCTGGGTAGATAATGATACCTGTGTGTTTTGGCAGCGTGCGTCAGAAATGCTTGGATGAGCAGAAGCGGAGGAGGCAGAGGGCTACCAAGAAGATCAGTACATTCATTGGCACATTTGTGGTGTGCTTCACACCTTATGTCATTACAAGGTTAGCAGCGGTTTATGATGTTGTATATGTGTGTGTGTGTGTGTGTGTGTGTGTGTGTGTGTGTGTGTGCGTGTGTGTGTGTGTGTGTGTGTGCTCATGCGTGTGTTAGAATGCTTGCATGTGAGGTATGTTATTTACCCAATGTAAAGTACCATCAGAATTTGATAAATGTCTCATTTACTCCCTTTTGAATCACAAGATTGAAAATAAATGCTTACAGTATCAAGGACATAGAGCACAAAAGTTGAATTCTGTACATTTTGTCTTTGCTTCAAAATAAAAGGAAAAGATTTCAAATTATCTTCCTTATTCAGCTCCATAAGTACAATGTTATTTTCAGTGTTGCCTTGTTATCTGGTAACATTTTTAATGCTTTTAACAGCTTCCTTTTCATGGAGAAAAAGGGAGAGAGACAGAGAAAGAGAGTTAGCAAGTGAGTCAGTAATCGTATCGCTCACTCTCATTAGTATTAGCCCCAGTATCAGTGGTGGCATCCTGTCAGAAGCTGTTAGATATGTGGTATGAAAATAGAAAGGAAGCGCATTAGGAGCTGTGTGGTGAGACATGCTAGACTTAAGGATATCATGCTAATTAAGGAGACAGATTACTTTGTCTTGGCTTTAATTTATTTATTAGGACAAAAACTGTGTCAGGTATCAGATTTATTGTAAAATTATTTTAATCATCAGATAATCAATAAGCAGAAAATGACTTGTTGGTTTACATTCCCCAACACAGTAATGACATTTCAGTGAAGAATGATGTCTATTACAGTAACAGTGGAGGTTTAATTTTATTCCACTTTCACTCTAGTTAACACTGATCTAAGAATTTGCTTGACTGCTGCACTTTACTTATTGATGATGTGTTTATTTTTTCCCTTCTTTTTGCTTTATTTGAGGTAGAATTGTAGAACTGTTCTCCACAGAGTCCATAAACCCTCAGTGGGGTGTGCTGTCCAAATGTTTGGCCTACAGCAAGGCAGCAAGTGACCCATTTGTCTACTCGCTTCTGCGTCACCAGTACAGGAAGACCTACAGCCTTCTGGCTAACAAAATCCTCAAGAGGAGCCCGCTCAACTCCTCCTCCCTCAGGGTGGAGAACAGTATTGGGCAGAGCAACATCTCCGAAACAACCAACAACACCCAACTACCTGCCAACAACTTGGCCAACAAGTCATCACTTAGCTAGAGATGTCTCGGATTTGATGTCTCTGACATTAATGCTGATGAGCAGAAGGGTGTGATAGTAGATTGACCTTTTAGTGATGGTGTAACATCAGAGTGAGCAAGCTTTTCTTCTAGTTACTTACTAAAGGACAAAGCTGGCAAAATGTTGTGTTTTTCTAACTGTCAACAAAACCTGTGGAAAGACCCGAACTAACAATGTGTTAATCCAAACTATTTGACTTTCCCAGTTGGTTTGAGGCGCTCAGGCCCAAACTCATCTGATGCTAACCAGGACACAAGTCATAAATAGGTCACTATAGTATTTAAAACATTAAATAAATAAAATATAAATTATTTCCTGAAACAGCTGGGCAGTGCTTTTTTAAAAAAATGCCCCCTAAAATGGAATGAAAAGTGCATTTGCAGGGGGGCTACTTTCAGGAACAGATTTGGTACACTAGCAAATATCTATAGCAGCAGCAGGACTGTGTGTATGGCATTAACTTAAATAAAACTGAGCTCATGTTCATAGTAATAAAGGAACACGTCACCCAGTGCCAACAGTGTGGCTTATAGATGTACTCATAAATAGTAGGAATAAGCTATATCAGAGTTTGGCTCCACATGAAGGAGGCCAGTAGGACCAATTAATTTAAAAATATTACGTATATATATCTCAGAATCAAAATCAGTTTTACTGGCCGGGTGGAATTTGAATCTCATACTGTGGCTCTCAGTGTGTATGTATAATGTTCTTCCATAAAGTAATGAGTAGACAAGTAAACAAGAACAAACTAAGAAAAAAAATATGCAAACAAGAAAAAGGAGTGTGCATTAAAAACTATAGACCAACCACTTTTGTAGGTTGTATGAGCATTAACAGATTTCAGTACAAATGTAACAGTCTTGTCAAAGTGAAAGAGTTTCTAATGAGACAGTTCTGTAGCATACTGGTAAATTTGTGTCAAATAGCCTGTGTCACATGGAAAACAATATTATGGTGATTAAGTGTGCTAATTGTGTAATGCAGTATTAGTATTCTCTGATACTAGCAACAGAATACTGTATTAACACAAGAGTAAAAACAGGAGTATTTCTATGGCCCCAAGTCAGTAGATGTAAAAGTATCCGGTCTGAAAAAATTGATCTATTACATGTAAGAACTTTTGCATCTTATTCTTGATTAAAATTCAAGCAAACCTTCTGACCTCAATCCTGATTCTCTACCTGGATAAAGTACTGTATGTGTTCAAGGAAAGATTTTTTTAAATTAATTTTATTTTATTTTCCACTGAGATCAAGATCTCTTTTTGAAGGGACACCTAGCCAAGGTCGCAGCCATACACATTTACAGCATTTAGAGCTCAGCACATACAACACAATGGACTCTCAAAAAGCTACGTCTCCTTCACCACATTCTTTTCAAATTAGATGCTGATTTTGACTGTGCAGTCAGTAGAACACTGCACCAGTGGTTTAGTTGATATTATTGCATGCTGTAGTTGTGAGGCCTGAGATCTAAAGTGCCTTTTACAAACTCTCTCATTTAGAAGGAACCTTTTACATTCTGTTATTTTTGGTGTTCTGTGTTGTGGTTAGGTGTGCTGATAGAGTCTGTTATGCAGTTTGGTCACACTGTAAGGAGGTTTTAAGTAATGCTTATTTTGTAATACTACCCATTGTATCGTTGCATCACACAAAACCGGGTAAACTATTATTTGAATGTGGTAGCCTCTATTCAGTAATGCATAATTAACATTCCAGCTCATGACTTTCAAGCAGCAGTGTGAACGCTGGGTTGTAAAAATGATTTATATAGACAACAATGGCAAATCAGGATGTTACTTTTACTTTGCTGTGACGGTATGAGGCCTTTAAAAGGCAGAAAATCTATTTATTTTTGTGAAAACTGTCTGATTTTTGCTAAATATGTTTGTGATTATGCGAAAATAAATGCTGTGCATTTTGACATTTTAAAACGTCACCAGAATTTTTTCTTACACATTTAAGCATGTATTTGGTGCTGTATGATAAGAAATGATCCCTAGGAAGTTAAGAAGATTTTTACTTGAACAATGCTTTACCAAAAGACAAGCCTGCCAAATCTGTTATTAACACCTTTACTCTCCCACACTGATTATTAATTCAGGAATGAGGTATAATTAATCTGAAAAATAATTTCAGATGTGTTCCACCCACTGCAGCAGCAGAAAAAGACTTTTAACAAAAGTATTTGGGTAAAGAGTTAAAGGCTTTCATAATTGCAGAGCAGCTAGAAGAAGAACAGGAGACAAGAAAGAGAGGAAAGTACAATGGGCCCCACTTCACCAAGTTCAGGCAGTTGCGACAGTGCTAAAAGATTCTCACCTTCATCATAAACCAAATCTCTCTCAATCTTTCTAGTTAACCTCCTTTCCCCTTTACCCATTTTGATAAGAACTGTGTGGAAAAATATCTATTCTGTCTGTGTAAAGAACATGAAACATGAAACAATCATGGCAAGCTGCCTCTGTTGTTTTTATTATTCACCAAGAGGGGCAAAGACTGCATTTACCACATCACCGTATTCACGGAGTATGCCAACCAAGGGCAATTAGTAGAAAGTACTCACAAAGTTTGGATCTCCTCTCTGGAGGTGTGTGTAGTATATCTCATCTCCCTGGGAGACTGGGTGAGTGGGAGAGAGGCAGACACAGACCTGACATACACGAAGACCTTGTGATTAAGCCACAGTGCGTAGGAAGTACAAGAAAGCAGAGAAGGAAGGCAGGAAAGAGGGGTGCACTGGCTGACTTCACACAACCCCAGTGTTAGAGCTCAAGTGGTTCTCCCAGGCTCATAAAGTAAAAGTTTTCCTGATAAAACATGATCAACACATTTTCTTTGCAGTCTGAGATGGTAAATATTTGTCGTGTTTCATGAGGTTCAAAAGCAAAATGTTGTGAAAATCATTTTGTTTAATTTGAAATGTACCAAAAGGAATTCCATCAGGTCTCTCAGATTACATACTGTACCATACCGCCACACAGTCAAAGCACAGCCACTCTTTCTAAAGTGCCTTTTGACTTTGTTGTGCAAGCTATTATAATTCATCCTGTCAAATATAGACTTTAAGGCCATTATGCTTTAGTGTAAAGAAAGTAGCTGACTAAAATTCAGATGCAAAACCTTAGACACAAAAATGATTAAACCATTAAGTAAACTGACTTGAGTTGTGAGGATTTTAAGAAACAACGAGCTGCTGCCAAGCTAGATGTAAATTTGTCATTTTAAATAACTGTAGTAGAAGCAAGTTGCTCTCAAACCGTGTTTAAAAAGAACATCCAGTACAACAGAAGCGACCCATGTACAGCAGCTTCTTTTAATCAGGGACAGCAGCACTAAACTGAGTAAGTAATGAATCATCCTCCGCACACTGAGAAAACTTAACTGATTGATCTGTCCAATTTCTTTAGGCCAACAAATGAGCAAATAATATGTTTCACTGTACACTCCCTCAGGTTTGCTCATTAATCATACAAATACGTGGCAGGTGTACACATCAGTAGGTATTCACTCCATCACTTGATCACACCAAACAATACGTGAAGTGGTAATGAATACTATGTACATGCCTTGCCATTATGTCTAATTGCCTCACTCACTCAGCCTCTTGTCTCACAGCCTCACAGGCTTGTCCATATCTCTGTCTGTGAAACTGCAGGACTGATTAGCTACCAGCACATAAAGTGAATCATGGGAATTCTGGACTAAAATGTCATGGTATTTCCCCTATCCTTAAACAAACAGCCGGTAATGCTCTAGGAACCAATAAAAAAGAAAAAGATCTATTTTTGTTCAGGAATGCTGTATTTGTTTTTGATTTGGGCTGTGAAATGTTTTCTTTTTCTTTTTTGTCTCAGAGGCATTAGCAGCAGTTTAAAGCGTATCACTGCCTTGAAGTGAAAATCTCATACTTCTAATATACAGCTTATAGGACCCTGAAGGATTTCAGACAAACAGCTTTGACTTTTGTCTTTTGATTTAATGCAGCACATCTCATAAGCTCAGTTGTGTCAAGCCAAAAAGGAGATAGTGCAGTTTAGCTGGTGTCATAAAAATCAACAAAACCTGATTTAGAAGGTTAGAACATGTAATTAACAGTACATTAATGATCCAAGTTTTTGCATGCTTCATACAAGTACCAGTCAAGATGTGCTGGGTTTCTCTTCTACAATAATGGATTGATTGATTCTATACAGAGGCACGTATTAAAAAATACACAGTCTCGTCTGCTGTAACTGCAGTATATCTTTCAGGTGAAGCAGACACACTGGCTGCTCCTAAAAGTGTCATGTCAGTCACACCCACAGCTGAGAAACACTGTCCTGAATCAAGCTACAGCAAATCTCCAGAGGGCGAAATATCTCCACACTTAGTGCTTAAAAATAGATCCAAAGTTCCACTTTTTTTTTTTTTTTATTCCTAATCAAAATTCAAGACAAGCAGGCACAGTATGGTGTAACCACATGCATGTGAATACAGAGTGAACTGATTTGCATTCAGATGCTTGCTGCAGGTATCATGAGCGCTTTCTTAAAAGATGCTCAGTGATATCCTGCACATTTACTACTGTAGACATAGTGTAGACATGGTAATGTTTTGGTGACTTTAACTGTGGCAGATGTTCTGAGTCCACACTGCTGACACTTAATGAGAGTGTGATGTATGTGGCTTCAGTCGTCAGAGTGAGTCATTTCCAACCATCTGTTTAATGATCAGAAGATACAATAACTGGAGACAGTTTGGTGAGTGCGTGATCTGGATGTACAACAGATGGCTCCCAATGAAACTTTTAGTAATGATTAAAACTCTATGGTATACTGCCAGGATATTTTGAAGGGATTTTTAATTTAATTTATTTAGTGACTTCTCTTAAAGTAGGCTAGCTTGAAGGAATGGGAGCAAATTTAATAGAGAGAAAGAGAATAAATATGTTAATTACTTTGTATTATTCACAGGATGAGAGTTTCCCTGGTGAAATATAGGTCTCTTGTCAGAAAAACAGATTCCTCCATATATAGCTGGGTCAGTGTTTGCAGGGCTTGTGTGGGTAGCAAAAAGATTAGCATTCTGCTGTAGCTTTCAGTGTACTGAAGGGTCAATAATGTACTATAGGTTATAATTTAGTGAGCCTAGTTTTTGAGAAGGTCAAAATTTCTACTGTAAAAGAAAATTTGTTTGTGCTAAGATGAGTGATTTAGAAAATATTTCTTTAAGAAGTGCTCTAAGCAACAGCTTATGCATGTAATATAAAGTGA